GAAAAATTAATAAAAACTCACAGCAAATGCACCGCAAACTTCTGATCGCAAATCGCTCAGTGCTTTGGTATTGATTTTACCGTTGATTATGACTAACGGATCGTTATCTAAAGTTGCGTGATGATAAGTATGTCAAATTATAATTTTTAAATCTAAGAACTTCATTCATATAGTTCATTAATTCGATATAATTATTTTGCATATATTTCCTAGGTACGGTTATTCTAATTTATATGATCATGTGATATTCCACTTAAAATTTTCAAAATACTGTACTTATCATGACTATAAATTTATAAAGATGAATATTTTTAGAATTATTATTTGTAATTAATCAATTTCTACCAGACAATTACTGGAATTATTTTTACCGACTTATATAAATAATGATTAAAATAGTGACCTTTTTATTTGCAATTAATTCAAAGGTAGCTAGATATTAAAAATCATAGGAGATACTCACTGTAGTCAAATACCGGGTGCAGGGTGTCGGTGGCGGCTATTACTTGATTCAAATAGGGATCTGATAATTCCCGAATATTGGCGCAAAGTACAAAGGTGACACCATCGTCAATTATATCGGGGTTGGCGTTACTACATGCTATGACGTTGGTCAGGGGGTTTTGTTTCCAATCCGATTTGCCTACCGTACAAATGGCAATACGGAACTCGTGGTGATTCACGTAATTGGTCACGTGGTTGCGAGCTATGCACGCCTGGGTAATTTATGTAGATACGCACGAATGAGTTATAAAGTGTTAAGTATTTTATATAATTTTAAAAGTTAATCTGTTTTGTACAAATTCTAATCAAGCAATTTGTAAATAAGAATATTATTCTTTAATGCAAACTTATCATGATCTAGATTAAATTGTTTTGTAGATTTTTAAAATGACTCAACTGCTTCTAAAATGACCAACGTTTAACAACATAATAGTAAAGTAGCACACATGCATATTAATAAAATTACTATAATACCATATAATTCATAGTAAATTATTTCTGACTCACAAGTAGATCATTTTATTAACATAATTATCATAATATTATAATAAATGTGTAAATCGAAAATTCTTTAAGAGGTTCCTGCTCAAATATTAAGCATTTTACTTACGTGCAATCTGGTAGCCTTACAGTCGACATCGTTTTCAGCGCAAGCGTAATCAAATACTTGTGCTCCGGTAGTGTCCCTGGTCCGTTCAGCGCTACCCCATGGAATCAAATCGACCTCGACACCATAAAGTGCCTCGCCAGTCTCTAAATTGTTGACCAACAGATCGTAGATACCCTTGTCGTTACCCTCGGCATTTAACTTAAGGAAGTCGATTGCACGATTGCTGAATGGCGAATAGTACACCTGAACTTGGACATTGTCACCTTTCACAGTTGTGTCAGGGGGGATGTCAGGGTCACCGGTTACGCCCGAGCAACCCGCGATAGATGGCCTCTGAGCAGCCTATTGTTAGCAAGGTATTATAGTTATTTAATTATTAATTTATACTCTTTTATAATATAATTAAATGTAACTTACAGGTATGGCCTTGCACACTTCTGTTTTTAAATCAGTGATAGCTTTGTCATTCTTAACGCCATTAATTAAAACCAGTGGATCATTAGCTAATGATTAAGATCATATTTAAAAATGTTTAATTTATAATAATTTTATAAATTTAAAAAAGTAATTTATATTATTTACTTCAATAATACTAAATTATTATAGTTAAGTAAGTTTGTTTTCATAACTACAAACCTAACAAACTTGATGT